GTGGCTCATGTATTAGGCCGATGTCCTTCTCTCGGAGACAGACTGCAAGATTCGCTAAAGCGTGCGAGCTACGCTTCAGGTTTATCTGCACGACAGTAGGCATTATTGCGGGGTGGTGTTGGGGGTGTCGTCATCGATGGCTAAGTCTTCCAACCGCTTGTTGGTGTCGTCGACTTCGTTTTCGAGGACATCGTCCGGCTCGGCTAGAAAAACCTTTATGTTGGCCTTTCTAATGCCATACCGAACCTTGTGGTCTAATTCTTCCAATTGATTTAGTCATCGCTGGTAGATGGGGAAGAAGAACGGCTGGCTTGTCTTCATCTCCCGCTCCGCCTTGAGGATAGCCCATTCCTTCATATGGACCCCTGGATTCTGTGCCCGCAGAGTCTTGGGCACCCTTTCATGGTTGGATTGCCCTTATGGCAACCAGATGCGTGCCCGGTGTCTGCTTGGGATATCCTTGGCAGGGACTAGCTTAATGCTAATCCCCTTCCATGCGTTGCTAGTCTTAGCAACGCACTCTGCCAGGAAGTCCCTCGATGACTCGTCATCGCACCTGATAACCCGCGGCCCTCTAACCATCTTTGAATAGTCAAAGGAGGGTGTCGGACCAGATGGCTCCGATAGTAATTTGTGTGTTACCATCTCAGACGTTCTGGTGTCGACTTCCTCCCATTTCTCCATCAGCAGGTGCCTATCGTCTTTGAGCTCATCCACCACTGCTATGGCAAGGCTATCTCTAGCCACCTCACAGAAGAGCGGTTGCTCTTCGACTGCGAGGACAAGAACGCTTCTGGGTGCTCCTTCTCATATCTTTTGAACTCCTCGACCCCTGCCTGGAATCGAGCTATGTCCGCTTTATCTCTTTGGTCAACTTTTCCCTCCTTCTCATTCTTGGCTATCTTGGCAGCAAATCATCTTCGTCGGTTTCAGAGATGGAGTGCGGTTTTACCTCCCCCAAGAGGTCTGAAGCCGATTTTTGGTTATCCATGGTCATAATCACCCGCGTTGCTCGGCAATGCGAGCGCGGTTGGCCCGAGGAGTTTGGAGCCTTGAAGGCCACTTCCGACCCAGGGTTGCCTGGCCCTGGCAAGGCTCCGTTCGAACACAGCTAGATTAGCCCCTCAGCTGTGAACCTTACAGTCAGAGGACACGGGTTGCGTTACAAGCTTACAACTTAAGGAGAGGCATTTTCAAGACTTGCCCGGGCAAGTACTATGCCAAGCATAGTTCTATGGTTGGCTAAGGATGGTAAGTAAATTAGGAGGAGTCTATTAAAGTATGATGGTAATCTTTGGTTTGCATCCCAATTTAAACCACGTAGAGCGAAAAGTAAAAAGTAGTTTTGAACCGATTCGATGCGTTTACTATGGACGCCGTACTGAGGGCTCCAAACGCAGCATCCATATTCTAAGATAAGACGAACTAAAAAAGTACATAAGGATTAAGTAACATAGGGGTCATTGAATTCCTTCGACCACCATTTAATAAATCCAAGCACACCCCTGGCTCTATACACCATAACATAGATGAAATATGATTGATAAAGTCTAGTTTAGGGTCCAAGCGGACGCCGAAATCATTAATTATTTCCGAAGAGCAGCAGTTCAGCGTGTAAGTCGCAAGTCTAGGAACGACACGAGATAATGCCATTAGCTTGCATTTAGAGCCGTTTAAGTTTAATAAGTTTTCGCGGCACCATGTTTGAAAATTGTTAAGATCTGTTTGTAAATCCGAATGACAGGTGTCGTCCTTATATTACACGCAAAGCTTGACGTCATCAGCGAACTTAATTACTCTGGAGTTGGTCAAGAGTTTGGGCAGGTCATCTATGCCGGACGCCATAAGTAACCCTTAGAACATAAGATAAATTAAGTCCTGCAATTCAGATAACTTGAGATCCAATTTTCTAACGAGGAGCGAATGGTTAACAGAGTCAAATTCTTTACTGAAGTCAGTATAGATTACATCTGTCTGAAAATTATTATGAAAGCCCTTTATAATATAGGAAGAGAGCTGCTGTAGATTTGGTGTTGTTGATCTTCGCTTAAAAAACCATGTTGACATGGAGAAATAATTTATCGACAAAGATGCTGCAAATAAGGAGTAATTACGTAAGTAAGTAAGTTTTGTAACAGCCGACACGGATACCGGATACCTCTATAATTTTTGGCATCCGAATTGCTACCTTTTCTGTGAAGAGGAATAATATTCATTCCTTTCAAATAAAGGGAAAGTGGCAGGTTTCTAAGGATAAGGTAAACAATTTCAGAAGGAGATAGCAAAGAGCGTCGGAATAATACCTAAGAACACAGCGTGAAATTCCGTCGGAACCTGGCAAAAATAACTGTCTTGAGACGATGAAGATATAAAAGAAGAGAGCTTTTGTTAAAGCTTGGACTGAAAATTAAGTTCGATTTGAAGATGACGTAGGCAAATGCCTGATTTAAGTCCGAAGAGTTTAAATAAGTTGTTTTTAAAAAACTGTGAAAATAGATCGGCTATTGCCTGATTAATTTTTGCGCTAGTATTTTCCGATGAAAGCTAGGAAGGATTTGTTTTAGGCTTACGTTTAGTGTTAACAAAATTATAAAACTGTTTTGGGACCTGTGAGAACTAGACCCTGCAGTTAAATAGTTTTTATAACACTGCGCGTTCAGCAGAGTTAAGTTTACCCGAGTCGATAAAAAGATACGAACATTTTCATTTTACCACCTTTATTTTGATTTTATCAGCCTTGGTTTTGCTTTGGATAAAGGCGATAACATCTTCCGATGTTTGAGCAGGGGAGAGCTGCGAAACAAATAGCAATATGTCTAGTAAGTGGAAAAGCAATAAGGGCTTTTGGCAAGGCTGATTGGTTATCTGTCGTGCCATTGTCGGCCGGTATTCCGGGCCTAACACCCTGGGAGGATGCATTTATTTTGACCACCGTCCGAGCTGCAACACCAATGCACTTGGCGGGCAAGATGGTGTCACACAGCCAGCAGACAACTTGAGAGTTCAAAATTGGGACTTACTACTGCACTTAAACGTTTGGGGATAAGTGAGAGAGAGCGATAGATAAAATAAGCGTAAAAAAGCAAGCACTAGCAGCACAATTAAAATTAAGAAATAAACTCAATTAACTAGAGTCGAAATACTGGTATGGTGTTTATTTTGATCTCTTTTTCAGTACAATTGATCAATTTGTTTTCAGCTTTCTTCTATCGTCATGTCGATATGGGCAGGTTGGCTGCACATAAAGAAGGAGCAGAATTTTTGGTGATGGTCTAGACATATTAAAGTATCCCGGGCGCTCTAGTTTTTTGAATGTTAGGGTAATAAGTCCAGTTTCTGTTTTTGGTTTTTTAAGTTTTCAAGAATCTCTTCTCCATCAATTCCTTGCAGATCGTTGTTGTATTTTGTACCCTGTAAGACTGCTACGGTTATGTGAAGTAAGTTCGTAAATTTAAGCGTGTCCTATATCTTTTGTTTGTTAAAGAAGGTTTCCATCGCTTTATTTCTTACAACTGACGACTAAGGTGATTAAATGGTGTGACTCCTGCAAAAGGTTGTCTCGCCGGTTCTGGATATTATTAAGAATTTGTTGGTTGGTGAAGGTATTCCCTTCCAAATGTCTGGTGCATTAAACATAGTTATTTGGGTAGTAAGCTTCTTATAATGTGCTAGGAGCATGTCACAACCCGTCCACGATATATTTTTCTATATATAGGTATGTGTGTCGAATGCTAAACGTAAACTGATGAAGTATCACATCTTTAATCAATAACCCAATATTAATAATTAAATATATTTTCAGAAGTTTCCATTAATGCATTAGGTTAGTTGCCTTTTAAAAGTTAAACGACGTTTATTAATTTTGTGAACGATTACACTTTTATGTATAGCTCATAAAAAAGGATGATGGGTTCGCCTCGCTATATTTTTTTCGTTTTTTCTTTATTCATTTATTTACATATTTCTGTGAATATGTGAGGAATTGGCCCAATGTAATAATAATTAATTCATGTAATAATACATTTCATATTTTTTTAATAATTGCACCTTTTTATTTATTTTATGTTTATGATTACGTCGTTTTGCTAATATTAAATATACAATAAAATAAGAAAATATACAAAAAGTTCAATTTAAAGTTGCTATTTTCAATATTTTAAGGTAAATTCAAAATATATGCACAATAGTGCATTAAGATTGAATATTGCTATTTAGTAGGATAATATTTTTATAGCTAAATAGGTAATCTACATATTGTTTTATTATGAACTCTGACATATATATTTACATTACATTCGTTTATTTTAATTATATTTATAGTAAATTCTTAGATTTAATCTCGACGCGTTGTATTAAATTACAATATACTGTTAGTTATTTATACATCGAAAAAATAAAAAATGTTGGAAATTGGATTTAAATAAATGAATCGTTCTAAACATAAATCATATAAACAAAAAAATCGTATGTTTTATTTGACAGTATTGCTTATAATTTTAAAACCATTCTTTTTTCATTCATTCAATTTATTGTTAAACAATTTTCCTTTATATTTCTTAAATATTTCCCAAACTGATTAATTATAAAAAAAAATAACATTATTGAAATTATAGAAAATTTACTTTTTAACGAAGATAGGACTACATTGATTAGTGGTACCCGTCCGACTTCAAGTAAATCAAACAAGAAATTTATAAATGAAGTATTTACTTACCAATCACTAAAAATATCAATAGTATTTACATCTCAATTTAAACTTACAATTTCCAAAGAACCATATTTTATCAAAGACAGATTTAACAATTAATTGAATAAATGGGTACATTCATAATGCTAAAGTTTACTGGCATAATTTGATATCGAAGAGATACCACATCTAACCCATACACATAATAAATTGGTGTAAATATTGTCGTAAACCTTGTCATCTGATAGCAATTATAGACAAGGAAATAATAACACTTAAAATAGTAGAAAATAGTCTTCAGATTCATGAAATATTCTTTAAGAAATTTCCTTTATTTTCGATTTACGGGTAAAACTATGTTGTCTACTCTTTTATTATTTGTAAGTCCCTTTGAGTTAAATCATAAAGTTTTAATAATAATTTTGTTTTTCCTGTACGTTTACGTATATATTATCGGTATCGTTATATGTATGTAGTATTTATTATTGTAATGTGATGTAACGCTTAAAAAATTATATATATTAGGCAGAGTCTTTGGTTATTCTTAAGATTATATATTTTTTATAAGGTCTAAAACTCTAAAAAATGTTTTTTTTTTTTTTTAAGTAGAAAGTGTCGGCAAGGCCGGAGATTGATAAATATTGCTGGAGATTCGACAATTTAGGTTCAAACCGTTTTTGTAAACGCCTAGTCATTGTGATTAATTATAATCGATTTACGATTAACAAGTCACATTCAAGCCTGCATATTCGATAGATCGTTCCGAAGATTCGGTTTCCGTTTCAAATTTCGTTATTTCTTCGTCAATTTGTAATCAAAAACTGCCATATCCACCAAGGTCGGACGGTTTCAAGTGATCAAAAACGCTCAGATGATGATGATGTGGTGGTGGTGGCGGGTGATGGTGCCCATGATGCGAGGGATGCATATAACTTGGATAGGAGGCTTGGGGCGCCGGATGACTTCCGTATGGATGATGATGAAACGGATAATTGGGGCTCGGCATATGAAGGGTTGCTGTAGTGCTCGTTGGCCCTGAGGAGGACTGAACCTGAACTGTACTAAAATGTCCATGATGGGTAGTACCTGTTGTGTATTCCCCTGATCCTGATCCTGACCCTGTACTGTGTTGCAGATGTGAGCCATAGGCTGTTGAAGCGTATACTGCCGAGTTTACATTAAGCGTAGGGATGTGGCCCAAGTGGTTGAGCTCCATATACATGGGATGTGCGTGAGGAGAAGGATGGGGATGAGAGTGAGGAGAGGGATGTGAGTGGGGAGAGGAATGAGCTTGAGGAGAAGAATGTTGGTGAGAGTGAGGAGGGAGTGCATGAGGATGTTGGAGACTTGGCTCTGAACTATTTATCGAATGAGGGGGAACGACATGATGCTGATGATGATAATATTCCATATTAGAATTAATGTTGGTGTGACTTTCACCACTGTTGTTGAGATATAGATTCTCATTATCCGTTTTGACAGCCACAAGACTCGAGACCGAGAAGTTGTTATTACTAATCGCGTTGTTATTATCGGAATTGCCAGAGGACTCCTCATCTTGACGTTTGCTATGCTGTTGGTGTTGCTCTTGGTGGTGTTGTTGCTGTTGGGGGTGGTGTTGGTGCTGCTGTTGCTGTTGGTGTTGCTGTTGGTGTTGCTGTTGGTGTTGCTGTTGGTGCTGCTGTTGGTGTTGCTGTTGGTGTTGCTGTTGGGGCTGCTGTTGCTGTTGATGTTGCTGTTGGTGTTGCTGTTGGTGTTGCTGTTGGTGTTGCTGCTGCTGCAATCCTAATAAGCGACTCTCCACAGCGGCAGCTGCCGCTTGCGCCGTCGCTGACATGGACTCATCATGCTCTCTGATTGCAGGGATTTGATCCACCAGTGACTCCAAGCCACACAAGCTTTTCCGGGCCACATCAGAGCCAAAGTTGGTGTTCCTTGGACTTAAATGTTGATTATTTTGATGTGCGGAAGATATTAATAAATAGGGATTGGGATGAGTGTGGGTATGGAGGTTCTGATCCTCGTAACCACGCTGCCAATGTTCCGCCAGTTCCTGGTGATGATAATGCTGCATCTGTGGCGGAGGCAACTGTTTGGTTTGAGGACTATGATGATGCGGCGAAGAAAGCCATTGCTGGTGATAGTGATTTTCATTTGAATGGACTGCGACTTGGATATGGCCTGTTTCTTGATCATGGGAGGAGCTGTCATTGTACTCCTCCTTTTCAACAGCCAGCGATGTGGCCTTTTTGGACTCTGACTGATTTTCAGGAAGATGGTCGAAGTCTACAGCGCCGCACAAATTCGGGGAACTAGGTGGCGGCGTTTCGCCCAAATGCGGTTGTTGTTCTAGAGAAGATCCATGCTTTGCCAATAATAAATTATCATTGGGAGACGCTTCCTGGACACCTACAGCAGTGGGAGTTCCATGGTTATGAACCTGCGTATAGTTACAGGCAGGTGAGGCCATCGGTGAGGCCGATGCGGTGTACAGAATGTGCGATGGCGGCGGGGTATTGTACAGACTGGGCGGCAATTGCTGATGATTGTTGCCTTGTGGCGGCGAAGCATCCGTCGTTGTTGGTGTTGTTGTATGCTGATCCAATAGATGCACTGCAGTAGGCAAAGGGTTGCTGGTGGTTGATAACTGCTTGTTCACCAGTATACTATCAAGGCTACCAGTGGGCTTTAATTTTTTTGGCCTGCCACGTTTCTTTTTGGGCGTTTCAGCCACAGAGAGATTAATTATATTATTAAAATCATGGTGATGGTTATACTGAGGCGCACGATGATCCATAATTAGCTCTTGATGTCCTTTGATTTTTTTGGGACGACCACGTTTCTTTTTCTCCAAGGATTGTGGCTGGGGCAGGGACTGATGACCGAAAACTGACAGATACGATGTGGTATTGCTTGAATGTCGCATGGGACTATCTGCCGTATCGTTGGTGTATGGATTATCGTTCGAAATTATATGCGACGGCATTAATTTATTAGAAGGTGTGGGATCTGGACAGTCAGTATTCCCACCACAGTCCGCAGCAATTGAGCTTGAGCTGCCACAATTATCTACAAAAGAGAGTGCCGACTGACTTCCTTTGTTGTCTATATTCTGTTGCTGCTGCTGCAGCTCACTGCACTGCCTTATCCGCTGATCTGTAAATACGCACTCTGATTCATCAATCTGCGGTATTAAGCCATTCAAAAAGTCACGGAATTTCTTCAATGCTGCATAAAATGGTACTTTATCGGCGGCGCGTGGTAACTGAGCGCATCTTGCCGACGATGATGGCATAACCCAAATATACTGAAATTTATAAACAAAAGAAAGATAGGAAAATTATTAGGAAAGTAATTATCAAAGTTCCAAGGTAACAAATAAATCATTTGCGACGTATTAATAGTGTCACGAGTGCCACCTTAACTTAAAACACATATTCAATTTTATATAAACCGGAAACGTTTGAATTGCGCAATTGAATTATTTGATATCGTTCCATTTCGTGCAAATGAGAAAAATCTAAATATAATATGAAAGATATACTTACGGTATCAGTGCCATCGACGCGATCTGGTTGTCTGCCGAAATGAAATTCCTTTTTGCCAGAAAAAACCTCAAAGATTAATTTTCCATTAAAAACGGCAATTTTTGGTCGAAATCTTTGCAACTTCTCTAAAAGAATCCGACTTCCCTCCTTGATTTCCTTTCGCGTTAGATCCGCTGAACCTTTAGTGGCTCGAGCCACCATATTTGTAAAACCGATTCCCTGCTTTAGCAAATGATGATCTTCATCTGCGCTCATCTGCTCTTGCGTAAGTCCAGCTAGGTAAAGGCATTTCCAGAAATGATTACCAGGCCCTGCGTAGTGATGGCCTTTGTAGGCGGCAAATAAACCGGGATTAATACCGACCTGCGCGGAAATATTTTATTATTATTATTATTATTTGCTCGTAATATGTTTGTAATTAAAATATAGTCCAAAATATTAAATTAAATTTATATGTGGATTATCCGAAATTTACAACTCACTATAACGATATCTAGATTATCACGCAGATGATCCGGTATTGTCCTTTTGATGACCTCATCTTCGGACATGCCATTGAAACGATCGTGCTTTTTCCGTTCCTTCGGTTTTAGAGTGTGAAGCATATCGCCAGAGGAATCTTCGCAGACAAGAGGAGTGGCGCTGTGAATTGAATATAGTAAATAATATCATATTATTGATAAGAATATAAATTATAACTTACTCCTGATTAGTTACTTGCACTGTTATCGCTACTTCAGTCGTACATTCAGTTGTGGCAACAATTTTTTTTTTTCGTCCTCTTTTTTTTGGCGTTGGTTTGGAGTTATTCGAGTTTTCTGCATTACTTTTACCATTTTGCGGCGGATGCTGAAATATATCATCACCGCCACTTGGCACTGGTAATGGTATTGACTCTAATCCTGACGCGGATTCTGTCGTATAGCTCGTCGCAGGCACTAAAGTTGTGCTTTTCATTTGGCGATGATTGCCTACCGGAGATGACAGCATGCTGCGCATCTCCTCGCCCATAAAACTGAATGGATCAACGGCATTTGTGGTGGGATTTAGACATCGAGCAGGTTGTGCCGTCGCTATGCTATCAAGACCATGAGAATGAGCAAGGGCAACTGTCGTTGTGGAGGGATTAGCTGAATCATTAGGATTCTTTGATAGCAACAACAGTTGGTCATCGGACTTTTTCTGGTTGGGAACATGAGACATTATTCCGATACTTAGATGCTGCTGTACTTGATGCTGTGGAGTCAAGGAATTGGTTGACGAACTATGTGAATTTGGTGTTAAGACATCCCCGGCACTTGTCTCATATCCATCGTCTTGATTTTCGGACTTAACGTTGTTCGGTGAAAGCGTTCTAAATAAACATATTGGTCAATTATTCAAGATAAAACAGATTATTCGCTATATAAACTATGTATCTGTAATTTGTTTGTTATTATTTACTTTAATTATTTATGTTAAATGTGTAAAGTCATCCAGAGTACTCACAGTTTATAGGTCGAGCTGGGTTCCTCGTGAAAATCTTCCATAATGAGATCGTTATAAGTGTCGTGCAATTGTTGTTGTTGTTGATGCTCTTGCACTTGCTTGTGCTGTTGGTGTTGTTGGATCTGATGTTGTTGAAGTTGATTTTGCTGTTGAAGTTGATGGGGGTGTTGTTGTTGTTGTTGTTGTTGTTGGTGTGGCTGTTGGAGTTGCTGTTGGTGTGGCTGTTGTAGCTGCTGTTGATGCGCTTGTTGATGTTGATGTTGTTGTTGATGTTGCTGATGGTGCTGTTGGAGTTGGTGTTGATGTTGATGCTGATTTTGATTATGCAATTGCTGTTGGTGATGTGGCTGTAGTTGCTGGTGGGAGAGAGATGACGATTGATCCAGTAACCCGTGACACTCCATTGGATGTGGCTGCTGCTGGCGAAGATGATTATCACTTTGTGGTGTACCAAATAATGGAGCGTTATGAAATAATGGAGCATCATAGTTGCTATAACTGGTTGCACTCTGTTGTTGATGTCTTGGACTGTGTTCGTTCATACTTTGTTGATGATGTTGATTTTGTTGTTGAAGGTGTTGCTGTTGCAGCATTTGTGCATAAAAACTATTGCGTAACTGGCCATCTATAATAGAATTGGCATCCACTGGTCGTCCATATTGTTGCTCGTGCGCTGGAGCATTATGTTGTAGGTGCTGTTGCAATGGCACTGGAAATGCTCCTGTTTCCTTATTTTCCTTTTCGATTTGAAGCAAAAGCTCAGAGTGCCGATGATGCACTTGGTATGGCAACTCAGCACTTACATGATTTACAATCTCCGGCTTGTTGGTATCATCCGGGGTTGGTCCGGACTGATCCTGGTGAGGCGTCCATAGTGAAGCTCTCCTCTCGGACAGGAGAATATCACCCGTTGTTGCTATTGCTGTCGTTGTTAATGCTAACTTAGTAGGAATTCTTATGTTCAAACTGGAAGAAGAGTCATTTACACAACCATCAATTTTATCGTTTGGTAACAATAATAATCTTGCCGAATCGCAGGAACTACTACTAGAGCTGTTAAAAATACCACCAGCGTTAGGCTTTGGATCCAACTCTAAATCTCTAGCCGGAGGAGGAGCTGGAACCACTAGCTCTACGCTTGTGACTAAAGCTTGCTCTGGCGCCACATAGCACTCATTTTTGGATGATGTCTTTTCCAAAATATCCACATTCAATGTTCTTTCGATACTGTCTAGTTCATTATAGTCCTCAGCCTTCTTGTCCAATTTACTTGCATCCGATATGGAATTGGTATCACCATCACAACTGTTTGATTCTCCTTGATTGGTAATGGACAGCTTTTGGCGTTTTTTATTCGATTCCGGTACACTAGAGGCATAGTTGCTGCCACTAACTGAAGTCGTACTGCTCAAATATGACGATGTAGGCGGCACTGTACCTACTGATGTGGCCAAGTTAATATCCACTTTAGATGCCATTAGACTACTATTCATATTACTGTTATTCCTATTCGCTTTCTTCTCCTGAAGGATAAGTGCTGCAAACTCTATGATAAGCTTAAGAATTCTGATTAATACTTCTATGCCTCGTGTGGGATTTACTCGTAAAATAGTTAAAGAATCTACTTTAGGCGCATATGTGAAGGAACTACTTATCAGTGGGATTTCTCTGTTTTCCACTTGCATCTCCTAAAATATATTTGAAAACGTTCGTTTAAAAGGGATGACCGTTAGTGTCCTTTAATCAGAGGATAGTCTTTCTAATAATTCCAATCCCATTTTTTAGTCCCCAAGTACATTTTTTGAAGCTAGATAATTCCAAGCTAGCTCAAATGCTAGTACGTCTGAAAAGAAAAAAATTAATAATAATATTACATTATAATGTCGTTGGTTAATTAGGCATTTTGTGACACCCTTACGCAGTACAACATTAGTCTTCTTTACAGAATATAGAAGTATACCCAAGAGTAGCAGATATTTAACATTGGATATCGGAACTTGCAAATACTGATACGCTTAATAGAAATATGCATACACATAATATTTTTAAGCAAAGCCCCAAAATGCAACCGAGCGAAAATTGGCCTGGCGGCAAGCTCTTTTCATGCCCCCTATCCCCCATACATGTTCATGTGCATCTCTAGATGCGCTTATGTAGGCGTTTATGTACATGTATATGTCAAAGCTACTGTACCAGAAAACTTTAGCAAAATCAACAAAAACAACAAAAACACAAACACAACAAACATTGAAACGAGTACGCACTCTCGAAAAAGCTCATACTCCGTCTATGTGTTCGAGAGGAGCGAAATAGTGTTGCCAGACGACAAGATGCACTTACTGGAAATAAAAGTTTACATTATTTTGCATAGACTAAACAAAACTTTTCGAGAATACAAATATTCAAATAAATTGTTTTGTTTATAATTGCAGCCAAGAAAAGTTCCATAATTATATATCATATTATATATTATATATCACATGAAGTGGATCGTTTATTATTGTACCTAAATTATGAAATATCTAAAATTTTTGCTGTTAACTTACAAATATCTATTTTAAATATTATATCTGTTATTGAAAATATTTAAATAATTCTTTAAGCGCTTGTTATTTTCTCGATATACGTAGATGAGAGGAGATCTCCTAACGGCTTATTACAGCTATAATTGGCTGATCCCCAAGACATGATATTTAATGACGATTGCGCTATCTTTAAGACTGTTAAATATGTTTTATACAAATATGGTACACAAAAATGTATATTTCTATAGAAAAGGTTCCTCTAGTGAAGCTTATAAAGAGCGGTATATTCAAATATTTCCATAATTTTTCCCATAGCTTTAGCACTTCTACATATTTTGGCCAAGTGTACCTGTGTCGTACATATCTGAGCGTATGTGTTCATCATGTATCGGTATTCCGGTCAAAAGAGCACCGACTGAGAGTCACTCTCTGAGAATGCACTGAAAAAAACGAAGCAATCGTAGCAGTGGGAGATTGAATATATGATTAAAAACAATTTTATACGGGTTCAAAAGGTGTTTCTCACCTTGTACAATGAAAAAACGTATTATTTATTAAATCACAATGTGTATTTGTATTTGAACATATGAATTAATATCCATTTGGTCTAAAATAGACAAATATACTTCACATATTGCCAAGTTAAAGAACTTTATTTTGCATTGAACAGAAAGTTGGAAGAAAGATTTTCCTTTTATTTTTATATAGAAGATATATATATAAATATATATATATATTTTTAAATTGATTGATTTAATATTTTGTTTTATCTTTTATCAGAAGTGTTGATATTTGATATATTTCAGTTTTAGGTTTAACTTTTATTTAAAAGTTTTTTAAATAATAAGGATATTGATTTAATTTATGGTTTAACGGTTTTAGGTGTGTACTTTTATTCTCAGTGCTACGAAATGCATATATGTACACACGGACACACGGACATATGTACAACACATAAATAAGTATACGTATGAAAAACAGTATTTGTGTGTATTCCTTTTTCACATTTAATATTCTTACGTATATATTCGCACTCACGAATTTACGCACAGACATGGCACAAAAATAAAAGATAAAAGATACATATATGTACGTACATATATATATGTACATATGTACATCTGTATCCGAATTTTGGTTTCTCGTAAGAGATGCTTCTGCTGGTTCGCTCCGTTTCTGTTTTCGCTTTTTTTACCGAGTTAATGTGTGACTGTGTGTGTGGCAGATGGCAAGCGGAGATGGGATGAGAGAACGTCTTGTATGGATGTATTTTACATAATAATTTTAATGCTAGTACATGGGTATGTGGTTCACATATGTACTCACGTTTCGTTTATAGGTACAAGGTATGCATACGTAATACGTTACACATGCCCAACGAAGAAGCAATGCGGCTGCTGCTGCTCCTTCTTCAATTTGAACTGCACATTTTTGCATACAAATACATGTATGTACCTAGGTACCCATATGTATGTAATTTCAATTTTTGGTATGTATATGCAAGCGACTTAGGTTTGTGCACACAACACAGATTCATTAATAAGAGCAACAAACGTATGTATATACCAGATACCGCGAACACCGCTCAAGGAATCAAAACAGAACTCAGAATTTCCGTGAAAGATTTATGATAATTTTTTAACTGTTTCTTCTGTTCCAATATACAATACAAGACCCGACGACGACCACTACGACGACGAGCCACACGAACAGAGGCAACCAATAAAAGCCGCAAATAGAAAGACTACGTAGTAAAAAGCTTTGTGTCTAAAGCTTGCGGGTCTTACGTTACGTTATTTTGAGAACTCAACTCTGAGTAATACCCTAACGCCTCACTATTCATTAGATACTGCGCGTGACGTAAAAAACCAAAAACAAAAATACAACAAAAAAACACAAAAAAACTTAGGCTCGATATTGCAAATTACATTCTGGAAAATAAATTCGAAAAATAAAAGTTTTCTTTCGCAATGAAAAATGCGTTAAGGTATTTGAAAGATATTTGCGCGATGTTACGGATTTGTGGTACCCGAAAAAGTATCTAGAAGCGATAAATAATGGTATTATTCGGGATAAAAACTATTTACGTTTGCAGTGTGTGTGTGTGTGTATATATCAACTGTGCATTTTATTTATTTATGTACAAATTGCTAGTTAAAAACTAATGAATGTATGCATTGTAACACTGATGACAGCAAGTCCCATTTCTCCACAATATGTATCGAAAATGTTCAATATGATATGACCGAAATATGAAAAAATTAATACCTCCAACTTGTAAATGTTTAATTATCTTAATGATTTTCATATTTAATAGTCTAGACCTACGTTTTTCAAGCGTTCCATCGTAGAGAAAAACATACATATATATATATATAATACATACGAGCTACCTTCGTATTTATGTAAAATCCTTGAACCTTTGTTGCCTTGCTCGGGAGCGAAAAAGTTAAACAGCTGATTTTTACATGTATGCTGTTTGTGTGATTGTGTGTACTTTATTTTTTGGCTGATTATTGGCACATAGCTTAACCTTTTATATTAATAAAATTACTATTAATAAGATGAATGGTTAGGAGGCGAAGAGGGATTGAGACGGCTTAACTGGAAGATCGGCAGCGAGCGAAAGCTACTAAGAACCTATACAGTAAATTTACCAACCAAGGTTACTACAATTCAATAGAGTCGGATAATGTCAGATTTGGGAAGTGGAGATGAAGGCATCTCAGGATCAAGTAAGATAAATATAAAATAAAGATATTATACATAAAACATAATATAATTAATACATACATATGTACCTATTTACTTATGTTCCAGAATATAATGTGGCGAATATGGAGGGCACGTCTAGTCGCAATGAGTTTGATTCCTCCGTGAAAGGTACACTTGTAAATAGTATATATATATATGTATATATATATAATATATAATGGTTTTGGGCGTTTGATTTCAGGTGGAAGTGGCGTTGAGCAAGAACTGGCCACCAAAATGCTTCAGATACAATCGAAACGATTTTATTTGGATGTCAAGCAGAATCGAAGAGGTCGATTTATAAAAGTTGCCGAGGTAAATAGGTTACATCTCTATTTTACCAATTTGCGGTATCGTTATATATCTTAATAACATTATATTATTTAATCAATAGCACAATTCGATGGAACCTTTTCTTAAATTGTATTTTTATTTTAAACAAATTTTTAACCTAAATTTGGCAATCAAGAGCATAAAGAATGACACAAAATTGTATACTTAAAAAATTCAAGCTTTCGTCCTCACAGCTGTTTTTTTTTTTTTAGCAAAAGGAGCCGCACGCGGCAAAACACAAGAAAGGGGGCAAACTTTGGCACACCAAAGTTTGTATGCCCTTGCAAATTGTAATGCGATTATTAATAATTAATTCAACATTTAACGATCGTATGCATGTCAGCTATATGATATAATCATTCGATTTGTATAATATTAATACAAAATGTCTAAAACATAAGCAAACCCATCTATAGAAAAAGCAACTAGGGGATCTCTATACGATTAAATGACTGAAATACTAAAAATATCGGCAACCGGAAACAGCTGTTCAATAACAAACTGGTAAAAGGATATTTTTTAAGTTAGCTGTTCAAGAATTCAATCGCTGCCCTTCAGTCATTCCCTGTCCGGGATGACGATACATTGCTGATATTTGTAGTAATTCAGTCATTTAGTCGTATAAAAGTCTCATAAATATAACTGAAGAACCTGAGGTCCCTCATTACAGATTTTTTTAAACTTTAAAGTAGTACCCTTGCAGGGTATCTTAATTTCAGTCAGAAGTTTGCAACGCATTGAAAAAGTCGTTTCTAACCATATAAAGTAAATATGTTCTTGATCACCATCAACAGCCGAGTCGATATAGTCATGTCCGTCTGTCCGTCAGTCCGTTCTACGCAGTAGTCCTTCAGTTTTGAAGCTATCTGAACGAAACTTTTCAGTTAGTCTAATATACACTCTCACTCGTATCGAAGTTCTATCTGCAAGGGTATATAAACTTCGGCGTCCCGAAGGTAACTTCCTTTTTTGTTAACTCTGCTATACTCACGTTTCCGTATTACAAGGCTTTGAAAAGTGCCAAAACATGACGTTTTAAATAAATAAATTGGTATCTGATGAAAAGCTTTCGTTTGCAAATTAGCAATGTACACAGACCAATAATTTTCAAAATCAGTCGCATTTAGTATACGAATACAAAAAGTTAACTTTTGTCGACCTGTGTTAGCTTAATATGTGGTCATATTTTGAAGTGATTATTTTGAAAACTGTTCAAGGTCTGCTGAAAAATCAGCTTAAAGAAAAGCGCAGAAGATGGGAACCTTGAAGAAGTCGCTTGTTCCTATAACTTTGGAAGAAACATTAATTGTGAATTAGTTTATGCTTTCTTTAACGTTTATCAAAAATATCATTAAAACAAAATTATACAATGGCGTAATCCCCTGATATGAATTAGTTATATGATGAATTTCTTTATAATGATTATAACTTACAGATTGGTGCGGATGGACGACGAAGTCAAATTTATTTGGCCCTTTCAACGGCAGCCGAATTTCGTGATCACTTGTCATCTTTTAGTGATTACTATTCTTCTCTAGGTATTTATTTTATATTATGTACTTTATATTACATATTAAAATATTAAATCCCTTAAAAATAACACAGGTCCACCAAATACTGACAATTTACCGGAGGATGGTAAATTAAAATCTGAAATGATGATTAAAGATTATCGAAGATATTACTTGGATCTAAAGGAAAATGCTCGCGGGCGGTTTCTACGGGTAATATTCATTAATGAATATTTATATTAATTCCTAAATAAAAAAAACATTTACATATTAATTGATTAAAAACTAAAAAATATTGAAATAGTCGATTAATTCATTAATGATATGAATGTAGGTATCGCAAACCATAACCAGAGGCGGACCTAGATCTCAAATAGCGTTGCCAGCTCAGGGGATGATCGAGTTCCGTGATGCACTCACCGATTTGCTAGAGGAATTCGGGGCAAACGATGGAGGGTATAAAATTATTTACTAATTATGATTTTTTATTGTTGTTCGTTTACTGATCTTTCCTTTTTCTAGCAGATTTAAGGGAGATTTGCCCGAGGAGCGGCATATGAAGGTGGATAATAAGAACTTCTATTTTGATATCGGACAAAATAATCGAGGTGTCTATATGAGGATAAGCGAAGTGAGTATAAAATATGTGATAATAAAAAACTATATATACATTTATACAAATTTTATAAGGTAAAAAACAACTTTCGTACATCGATAACAATACCGGAAAAATGCTGGATACGCTTTCGTGACATATTCAATGATTATTGTGAGAAAATGAAAAAATCGTCCGAATCAATTACTGCCGATATAAATCTACCGACATCCTCAAATAGTCTTAAATAAATATCGCGTGATTTTTATGGTTATAAATGGCAAAAGAAGTTATATATTAATTAATGGCGATTGACCAACAAAGAAGAATAACTTAAAGCTTACTAAAATTTGAGATAGGCGAAATATTAAGATTGTTTTGTTTATTTGACATCGTTAGCATTTAGTAAAAGAAATAATTTCAATTATTTTTATCGTCAAAAAAAGTGAATACAAGGAACTTTTAGCTAGAGTCTACAGTAGAACATTTTGAAAAAGAGAGGAATAAAAAATTCTTTGTAATATAAAAATAATTAATTCATTATAACCAGTTGCTTAAGAAAAACAAAACCTCTGATTTCCTGCGGCCTTTCGTCGGTTTATTTTTCACTTTATTATTTATTTACTATTTTATACCATTGCAAGACCCCGATTTTACCTAAACTCTATTAGAAAATATTGTAAATTAGCGCCATTTTAGACTTTAAACAGCTCTCTCAGTAAGATCAATAAAGTATATGGATTATATGAGGTTTATGTAGTTAAAAACACACAATTCATTGTTAAAGCTTCTAGAAAAAAATGTTATTATATAAAAAACAAGTCAACATAAAAACAAAAAAGCGTTTTTAAAACAAAAGTTTCAATGTGATCACTTAGAATAAAAATAATGTACGAAGGAAATTAATGCATAGCAAGGCGTAAAATTAACACCTACCGAAAATCTCTTTCCCCAAAAGGAATGTCTCTCGTGTACAGATTTGCAAACGCAACCTAACAAATTAGTGCTATTGAATATTAATAAATTAAATAAATTTAGTGCTATGAAAAAATTTAAAATATACTCAAATTGCAAAAGAAGTGTTAATTTACTTAATAAAACCATACAAATTATATAATAATTATAATTTCGTTCATAATTACACCATATTAGAGTCTCAGATTCATGATTGACTATAAACCAAACAAAGATCGTATGAACATAAATTTACCTGGCAAAAAGTGGGTGTAATGCTGCGCAATATATACATATACATATAAATAATATATATATGTATATACATTTAAGTAATATATATATATATTTACATATGTATATATGTATATATAATAACACATAGATCCAAAAACAAATTGGTTAAACTATAAAATAGTGAGTGTATTGTATATCTTCAATGTTGTTTGGCAATGGCATCCATAATTATAATATTTTAAGAGTTTTGTGAAAAGAAAATATGGTAATAAAGTTGAATTAAACCGAAATATGTGAAAGAAATTTATATATCTATATTATATATTATTTTTAAATGTGGGTCAATTATGACAATTTAAATTCAAAAGATTGTCCGATATTTTTGGTGGTATAAATCTTATTCACTAGAGCTGGGGTACTATCGAAGCTAGGCTTTACCGATGGTTTTAAAAACAATACCCAAATAATTTCCTGAATGTTTTTATTTATTAAACTAAATTACTTTGCATATGTTTATTTTTTATTTTATTTAATTAAAAAATACCATCCGCGATAAATTTACAAATGCAATATTTGATATGTTGATGGTTAAATAATTTTGAGCCTTTTTCAAATTTCAATTTTAAAGCAAACCCTGGAACATTACCTTGTTTTAATAAACTCTGATGTGACCATCGATGTTTTGACAACTCAACCCCCATTCATTCCATCGAAACAAAGTTTGTTTTCCTGATTTATCTAAAACTCGGAAAAAAAAACAAATCATCGTCTTAGTTTTATTAATCAATATTTGTAATTCACAAGTATTCATAGGAATCTAACGATCTATTTCCCCAAAAACAACATCCAAAGTACCAATTATGGCAACCACATCGGCCAACATATGCTGTTTGCCAATCTTTTCCAGCGCCGCCAAATGAGCAAAGCCGGGAGCTTTGATCTTGCAGCGATACGGTCGGCTTGAACCGTCAGAAACTAGGTATACTCCGAATTCCCCCTTTGGAGCTTCGATGGCGGTATATGTCGCACCCGGAGGCACCTGATAACCTTGCGTGAATAACTTAAAATGATGAATCAACGCCTCCATTGACGTCTTCATTTCGGAGCGCGAGGGTGCAGTCACCTTGGCGTCGTCCGTTTTAATTTCTCCCGCTGGCATTTGATTTAAGCATTGATCGATAATCCGAAGACTTTGACGCATCTCCTCCACACGGCAAAGGTAGCGATCGTAGCAATCGCCTTTGGTGCCAATGGGCACATCAAATTTCACTAGATCATAGGCATCGTATGGCTGCTGTTTGCGCAAATCCCACTTGATGCCAGAGCCACGGAGCATGACGCCGCTAAATCCATAATTAAGAGCCTCCTCAGCGCTCACAATGCCGATATCTTCAGTTCGTTGCACCCATATCCGGTTCGTGGTTAGGACGTCTTCCACTTCGTCCAGACGTTCTGCAAACTTGGATGAAAACTCATAGATGTCATCCATAAGGCCCAGTGGCATGTCCTGCAATAAAACAGTGATTAATAATGCAGTATTCCAGTTAAAGTAAATTAAACATAAAGGAGGGTCGAATATTTTTTTTAATCTATTTAATTTTGTTGAAAAAATGAAATAAATTGAGACAACTAAACTGCATACATATGCAGCTCTTTTTGGAAATAAGAAACAATTTAATAAAGCAGTACATATAAATATTAAGCACTCTAAGAACCAAACGGTTACCAAATTTATGCACTTCGAAATTGTGAATTTTTCAAGTATATTATAAAATGTAAAATGTACAATCCTCTTACCAACGAAACACCACCAGGTCGAATGTAGGCAGCATGCATGCGAGCGCCCGACACACGCTCATAGAACTCCATCATCTTTTCGCGCTCCTCGAAAAGCCAAAAGAACGGCGTTAAAGCACCAACGTCAAGAGCATGAGTACCCACAGCCATTATGTGGTTTAGAATCCTGGTGATCTCGGCAAATAGAGCTAAATACGAAAATTTTAAAATAACAATACACAGATTTTTACTGTACTCATTTGAAATTATTTTTAACAAGAAAGGAAGCTAACTTCGGCACGCCGAAGTTTACATACCCTTGCAGAAGAACTTCGATCATTATGAGTATATCTATATCTAACGTTCTATTGTACGGGAGCTATATGATATAGTCATCTGATTTTCGTATCGTGTGAACTGAAGAAGTTATAATTTTTATGACATAGTAGTCCGATTTTCATACAATTTGACAACAAATTTTAGAATAATATGAAATGGCTATAACCTAAATTTGATCAAATTCTGTTGAAAATTGAAAATGTTATAGTTTTTTTTTTCTTTAATTTTCCGATCATTCCTATGTTCATATATATACGAGTGAGAGTATATAGAAGACTAACTACAAAGTTTCATTCAAATAGCTTCAAAACTAAGAAACTAGTTTGAGTAGAAACGGACAGACGAACATGGCTAGATCGACTCGGCTGTTGATGATCAAGAATATATATATTTCTGACTGAAATTATAATACCCTGGAAGGGAATAAAAATGGTATAAAATATACTCTAACCCGAGTTTCCGCAGTATAATCACTCACTCTGCGTTCTTCTTCGATATCTACCAGGTAACCTACGTTGCCTTACTATTGCTTACTTAACTTACTAACTTACTTCGTATGTACTTGGCTCTTAGTGGTACATCGATATTAAGCAGTTTCTCCACGGCCAACGAATAGCATTGTTCATTGCACATCATCGACACATAATCCAATCGGTCGAAGTATGGCAATGCCTGTGTATACGTTTTGTACTCAATTAGCTTTTCAGTGCCTCGATGCAATAAGCCAATGTGAGGATCCGCTCGCATAACCGTCTGTAAAGGATGTGTACGATGACGTATGTATAAACATCTATGTACATATTTACATTTACATACCTCGCCATCCAGTTCGAGCACCAAGCGTAAAACTCCATGGGCAGCAGGATGTTGGGGACCAAAGTTAAGGGTTAAATTTCGTACCGACTTCTCCACGGGCGTCACCTTACCTAAATATTAATGTTAGTCAAATGCTAAGCGAATGATTACTAGATTTAAACTACACACTGTTCCATGGTGGAACACTCCACAGCGATGTCACGTCATCGGGATACATCACGGGTCCACTGAATTGCTTCATAAATTCAGGGTCTGGATACCATTTTGCAGCGCCGCGAGTACTGAAAAAGTTTATCAAAGTATGAAAACAATACATAAAGTATTATGTAAGCTTTATTTTATACTTTAGTATGTTCGTTGTTGCTGCTGTTATAAATTGCGGTCGCAGACCTAGGCGAAATAATCCATTGAGGGAGCGTCTTGTAATATTGGCAAATGCCATCGTTTATTTAAATTATATGAAATATTTAATAGATTATGATTTTTCGGAGATTCCGTTCAATAACAGAATGTGTGACCAGAGTTCTTAAGATTAAGTGTTGCATTTCCCTAGTTGTTAAAATATGGTACGGGAAAAGTAAGGTACTTAAAGAGTAAAGCACCGTTTCTATGATACACCGTTCTAGATCGGCTATTCGTTGTCGCCGTTTTAAAACCTGGAAAAATATAAAATACTACGAAGTAGTACAGCTATTTTAGATTACTCACGGGTGCGAGACAGAATAACGAATTTAACAGGTTGTTCTACTTGCCTCTCGTTTTTTTGCAGTTTGTTCACAAATGGCGTTGACGGGTCAAAAAACTAAACAGCTGTGATTTCGCGAGCGAAATAATAATTTATAAAGTTTATATAACAAACAGCTGGCTTCAACTGTCAGTGTGACCATTTTCTTTCCTTATTAAATGAAAAGAAAATCAAAGGAAATATATAAACCATTTATATATATAATACAAATTCGGTTTATGATTTACCTATACATTTCTGTTTACAATTTTACAGTTTCAGCAATTTTCTCTTTAAGGAACAAAATTTTAGACAGCTTTAAGATATAATCACCCGATATGATTTGAATGAATATTGAATTAATACAATATTTTATTAAAACCAAAATTGTAAAATAATACAAATTTGATATGTTGCAGATTAAATGAAAATATTTTAAAGACCGATGAAATTCGAATTTTTGTCCCTTAAATATTCGATCCTTCCTATGGATGCTTTATGATATAGTACTCAGCTTTTCGTTAATTTAAACAAAAAATAATACAAAATGGCTATGTCTCATTTAGTATACATATATGTTGAAAACTGGTTAAGTCATAATTTATTTTTAACATGGAAGCTAACATCGGCACACCAAAGTTAATATACCTTTGCAGATAGAACTTCGGTCACTTGGAATTAATACATTTTAAAAGATATTATTATATTTATGTTAAAAAATAACAAAATAATGCCTGCTTTCATTTCTTTCACCTATATATTTTATATTTACAGTTTTACATTCACAGTTTTGCATTTTCCTCTATATCTAACGATCGTTTATGGCAGCTATATAACACAGTCGTTTTTATTTAATTAAAAGCGAAATTTTAGAATATTATAAAATAGCTATATCTCAAATTAAATAAAAATATGTTGAAAACGATTTTTTTTTACATTTTCCGATCGTTCCTATGGCAGCTATATAATATAGTTGTCTGATCCGGTTCGTTCCGACATACATCTATACGATTGATAGTATATAGAAGACTTACTGTAGTTTCATTCAAATAGCTTCAAAACTGAGAGCCTAGTTTGCATAGAAACGGAGAGACGGACAGACGGACATGACTAGATCGACTCGGCTGTTTGTGCTGATCAAGAATATATATACTACATATGGTCGGAGATGACCCCTTCTCTGCGTTGCAAGCTTCTGGCTGAAATTATAAAAAAAGTAAGGGTATAACAAGTTTCCGATCGTTTAAATGGCTGTTAAGTCCGTCCCCTTTCGACTTTTATACTAGTTAGAATATACAGAACGCTATCTGCAGGGCCATCGATAGCTTAAAATCTGGGGGACAAGGTTGCATATAATCGGACAGACGAACTCGCCTGTTGATGGTGATCAAGACTATTTATATTTTATTGGGCCCGAACTGAGTCCTTCATTGCAAAATTCTGACTAAATTAATAAATCCCTGCAAGGGTATGCAAATTGTAACAGGAATCTAAAAAAGAGGATTATTGTCGCGAACATATTGGAATTTATATTCAATTTCGTTATGTATCTTATATTTAAAGAGTCGTTTCTGCTGCAAGGTTATAAACGTCTAACACTTATAAACCGAAATATACTTATCTCACTGTCATTACGGACGCTATCTCTGTATGCGTATACGGAATTGTATTTATTTGTTATACCGCAACGGTCACACTTTCGTCTGTCAAATTTTTTACACTTTTGCTTTATTAATAGCTCATAGAAAATAATATGCGTTTGTATACATATATTTGTTGTATTATCTGTATATTACAAAAATGACGGTCGGAATGAGTTGTTTTCGAATTGAGCTCAACGGAGGCAAACATTTTCGGGATCTGCAACGTTGAACGGCAAGTGAAAAATATGTGAAAATTGTGTACTCTAAAAAAATACATATTTATAGAAAGGAACTGAATTATGCGTTCGTGTTTTTATGTATAATGTGGAATGACTCCTTTGATGGAATTATTTAAATGTGTCTTAAGACTAACAATATAAATATGTTTCCTCCGATAATGGGAAGTTACTTCTTTTTCACTAGCCAAGACTCGTCGTATCTTGTGTATGTATACAGGAAAACCTTCTTCCCATTTAGTGTATACATACATTGCCTTTCCGTATATCATTCCTTTGTAATTTCTTTTAAAAGCAAACAAAAAACATGTGAATTTAACAAAAACTCTAAAATATATATGTACAATTTAAATTTGTGTTGCGATAGAATTGAAAATTGAATGAGCGGTTTTGATTTATTTATACAGTGCACGTCATATACATATGTAGAATGAATCCCGAACAAAAAATCAAGATTTGAGAATTTGTTAATATTTTATTTTGTGGTTATATGTTTTTTTAGTTAAATGTGAATATTATATGGATAACAACAAAAATTAATAAATTTAATATAAAGTGCAAATAAAGTTATTTTAAAGAGATCTGTTTATGTTGTTGTTAGCTATTAATAATTTCTTTAAACTTTAACATGAATCCATATTAATTTAATGTTTATTTTCCCAGATATCGAACAAGGATGCATTTTAGAATGTGATGACACGTCTAATATAACTTATAGTTAGTTGTATACATTAACGAGTCGCTAAACTGTCTAAATACTTTAAAGGATAACCTAAACAAATAGCGGAATGCCAGAAGGGCTAAAAAATAAAGCACAAAATAATAAGAAACCGGAACAAGAATCACCAACATGTTGCAGCACAATGATCCAAAGCTGTCCATAACTTCGATACCTATCGATATCCACGATATTCAATGTCAGAAGAAAGAGCAGACCATTAATAGAACGTCAACAAACCGTAATCGAAATCAGACGATGAATAATCAACAACAGCAACCAGCTATGCATAGAAAATCGATAAGTAAAAGCAAGTTTTTACAATCACAGCATTCAAAAAAAGAAAACAAATGTGAGAAATCGAAACTACTGAAAACATCGGAAAGTTTGCCAGTCACAGAAAGATTAAACCCACGCAATAGCCATAATAGAGTTCCAAAACTTTCATTATCAGTTGTGAGATGTAAAAAAATTATGATTCCATTACCCACTTTGGGGACCACATCCCTTGTAACTCTGCTCGCATTAATTTGTATGGAAACGGTATTACTTTCAACCATGTCCAGCTGCGCCAAAACATTTTATATGCATTGGAATACATCAAACAGCATGTAAGTAAAAGAAATATTTTGAATGTTAAAGTCTATGAATGCACGGTTAGGAAGAAAACCATTTAAATCTAAAGTTATGTACCGGTTTTATTTAAAAAATTTATAGGTAAAAACTCCCATTTTGCGTAACATTTTTAAATATTAATAGGTACTATAAATCAATTTATTAACATTTCGTTTTTATATAATAACAACAACTCTAACAGACTTGCTCCTTACTCCCCCTCTTTGAGTAATTCTGTCACCCCTTTGGACCTGAACGGTCGTACGCATAGGACGCATTATTATTATTTACTTGTCGACATCTCCTTCGTTCCTTTCGTCGTCCTTTGTTGCACCTTCTTTCAAGCTGTGTAAAATCATCCCCAAATGACGAATGACAAGCGTACGCATTTTTAACAGCTCCGGGGAAAAATATACGCAAAAATATATCAAATTAGTAGCTTTCATATTAGTGTCTAATAAGTATTAATATTGAATAATTTTCTCAAAACGGTTAGATGTAGTAAACATTTTTAAAAAACCCCGGTCGTTGTTATTATATTGACCCCAACTGTAAATGTTTTTTTTCCGTCTTGGCACAATCACACTCACTCTGACTGGTACTGCAGTGAGCTTAAGTTCATATATATATTCCTGTCTTAAAAATACATACATATATATGTATTGAGTTTCCTTGAAGGCTCCATGCAGTACCACATGTCATCAATAGACCGCTGTCATCAACAATTCATCAACGTGCCGACTGCGATGAAAAATAGGGCCGAAAGATATAGGCCTGTCAACAGTAAAAATCCTCAATAATAAAAGCGGGGTGGATGTTATTTATTTGCGTTTTAACTTATGAAGGAGTTATAGTAATATATTTTATCCCTCAAACATGAAAAGTAAAATTTAAGTTTAAATTTAATGCCAATTATCGTGTGAGAGTTTTTATTATGTAAATGCATAAGATAAATAGTGGAATTATATGGAAACTAGTGAACCTATATTAGAAACAGTGGAATATAAGAGTAAACCGTGGAAATTTATGGAAAACAGTTTAATTGAGTGCTTTATGTGAGGAAGAACTAAAAGTAAAAATTGAAAATTACCAACTTAATTTACAATATAACTTAAATTTACAATTGACAGCTAATTATATTTTTCAAGTACAAATAAAAATTTTACGAAAAAAAATTTTTGTTAACCTAATATGTTAATGAATAGTTGATGAAATGATGATGACACTATTTTAATAAATAGTTGATGAAATGATGGTAAAATCTTTATGAACATTTGATCAAATATTAATGAATAGTACATAAAATGTTGATGGATAATATTATTGCTGATAAAATGTTGAATTTATATTTAAATTTTTACGAATCCATGATCAATGTTTGGTTTTGACAGTCCATGACATGCCCATGTTAAATTCATCAGTAAGTTGATCAATTACTTAATGCTACTGTAGGGTTCTGGCACACTTGTTTGACTGCAACAACAGACTAATAATGCATTAATGGCCGAGCTTAATCATATATAATTTAATATACCCTTACAGGGTATTCCAATTTAAGTCAGAAGTTAGCAAACGCAGTGATGGAATCATATCCGACCCACTAAAGTATATATATTCTTGATCAGCATCAATGAATGAATGATGAACATGGCTAGATCGACTCGGCTGTTGATGGTCGGCTTATATGGTCGGATATTTCTCTACTGCGTTGCAAACTTCTCACTAATATTATAATACCCTGCAAGTGTATAAAAACATTAGAATAGGTTGGAATAAAGTAAAATGGATGATAAATACAGTTGATGCTTCAACTTATTTTTTGAGGAAAGTTAAAAATAAATGTCGATTTGGAAAGTCGGTTATTAAGAATAATATGTATATATTACTAATTTACAGATTTCGTATTGATAACACCGATCATATAATCGACGTAAACAAAGGCAATTTGGCATTTGAATTCGATCAGGTGCACATTATTTGTCCCGTTTATGAGCCCGGAACATTTGAGAATGAAACAGAGAAATATATAATATACAATGTATCAAAGGTGGAATATGAAACATGCCGAATAACGAATGCCGATCCGCGTGTAATAGCAATATGTGATAAACCTCAAAAGTTAATGTTTTTTACAATAACTTTCCGGCCATTTACACCGCAACCAGGTGGTTTGGAGTTCCTACCTGGAAATGATTATTACTTCATTTGTGAGTGTTCGTTTATAATGTTTACTTTTAAAGCTTATGTAATTCTCTATATGTTTTATCGTTATTTCTATATAGCAACGTCATCAAAGGATGATTTATATCGTCGAATTGGCGGTAGATGCTCGACAAATAATATGAAAGTTGTCTTTAAAGTATGTTGTGCGGCGAATGAAGATAAAAATAAAACTATCTCTGCCGCAACATCCTCTGTCGAAGTTGCGGGAACAGGATCTGGAGCAGATAATGCTGGAAACAGTGTTAATATCGCAGCCAATAATGATGAGAGTCACCATGGCCACGGCATGGTCCACGGCAATAACATAGCTATGGGTAGCTCTGGGGGCCTAATGCCCGCTGGAAATCCCATCAATCCGACAGGCATTGGCATAGCCGCTACTATTAATTCCAATACTGATCAGTTTAATCGGATTCCCATACAACAACCAAATATTATTGGTAACAATGTGGGCCCTGGTGGAATTATATTAACATCTGGCAACTCTAATCACGGTCATGGCAGCATCAATATGCTGCAACCAGGACGTGGTGGCATTAATATTGCTTATCCCGGACAACATCATCATATTCAAACGGGTATTCGTATAAATAATGTGCCAACGCAGCATAACAATAACTATCCTTCGCACAATAAGGGTATTATTAACAGCAATGGAAACAACAATGGTGAGTTAAAACTTTTCATTTAATTTAATGGGAAAATGAAAAATCACATACATTATAAACATATGAAAACTAAGATACCTGTGACTTTTTCGATTTTTGATATTCTTTATATGCTAACAAAAAAATCACAGGTATCTTAATTTTTTTTTTTAAGTGCAAAATTTCCATACGATATGTTGATAGAAATATCGGGCTCAATATCATATTGAAATCTGTAATATATCAATATTATAGGATTTTATTTAGTTTTTTTGCTCGAGATAGTATAAAAAAGTAATTTATGAATTTGCAAAGTTACTTCATGTTTTTAGCCCAAATAGTAAAATCAGTGTGGCCCACTAATAATAATACCGCCTGGCGTAGACACTTCAATGGCGGCCACCGCCGTCTTGGCTTGAAAAAAGCCTAATTGCGGTGGCATTAATTCATGAGATGAATTTATTTTTACAGAAGTCGTTTAAAGCTTGATGTGAAAAGTGCAATTGAAATTTGAAAATTTTTGACTGTGTACACCTGAGCTCTGCAATGAGTAAAAAGTTATCGGGTGATTAAAAAGATCATTGGGCACATGCATGTATACTACTTGCGCATTCATAAGCACTGAGTTGATCGCTTGTGATCTCACGAAGGCATATGAACGATTGCTTTTAATCGTATATTTAGGTTCATTTCTATTTGGAACTGATTTTCCGTTTGCGGTTGGTTTGATCGTATTTCTTGTCAATTCTAGTTTAAAAAAAATAACCTGTTATTTTTAGTTTTATTGATTATTTAATAAGGTATTATTTCCTTTTGCTTTCATTCACTATCAATAAGAAGTAATTGTTTTTATGTTTTAGCCTAACTATGAATAACTGTTAATTTTAATGTCGTTTAACTTTTAAAAACTGATTATTTAAATTTTGTTAATTAGTTAATAAACCGTCATAAATCATAATCATAAATCATAAATCGTCATACCATTTCTATCGGATTCAGGTTGGATAGGGGAGCACTTCTACCTGAATCATACCTGAATTTTCATACAACGCATACAGGAATTTTCAATAGTATGGGTTAGCAAACCTGAATTCACTTTAATATCAGAACCGCTGCTTTGAATCCCTTCGAAAACAACAATAAATATGAAGTCAGAACATCGGCGAAATTTGTTACTGAAGGGTTAATGCTCATTTCAGTCCGATCAACTTGAATACTGCATGATCAATCTCTGTGCGACACACACAAAATTCAAAACATTCATCCTCTGGTCGCGACGAAGCGCTCTTAGGTACGATGATTCTTTGTACTCGTTCACAAAACTCAAAATTATCGTTTTGATCATTCCAAAGCGATCCAATCTGATGCACAAACTTGCAATTAAAATGCTTACTCGTGTCTGATTTTTCTTTCGGCTATTGCAGCATTTTAATTCAGACAGCCAACAAAAAATGCTTTCATATGAAACAGGCCGACCGTATCTAGTTATTTAATATCTTTTGAATTCGGATTGAGATATTGTGTCGTTCTAAATGAGTAATCATAGTAAGTGAACTTAAATGGAATATGGACAGGTCTAATGCGCTAATTATGCTAAAAGTAATGGAGACAAATGTCGCTAAAAACATATTACATATCATAAAAAGAAAATGTTGTGGGGAAGACAGTATAACACCAATTGGATCTGCAACAAAAATGTAAATGTTGCAAAAGTTAAAAATGCACAAAAAATATTGGCTAACAACTCCCAAGCTTATAGTCCGATTTTACTCAAGTAATCAGAAAACGATCACGCTTGTCGTATTATTTTAAATCGACTGACAATAGGATGGGACAAATTACTATTCGAACACTCGCTCCAGCTAATTTGTTTTTGTAGAATTTAATTTTAACCTAAATTCACTTAGGTAGATATGTTTGGTTTTAACAATTGTAGCCTGTTCACACCTCTGCGTTTAAAACAAAAACATTTTCAAATATATTATTTAGATCAATTTGATCAGGCCAACTTGATTAGTCATTTAGAATTTGAGGCTAAAAATAAAATATAAAAGTAGGATTAAAAATAGAGATTTAAGCGGTTAGACCATCCTGAACGCCTGAAAATGGGAGGGTATTTCTTATTTTGCCGAAGTATTAAAAATACAAGTTTTTATTAATTGGAATATCAAAGTACATATGCTAAACTAGAAAACAATTATTGGAAGAATAAAAATATTCACAAATGGCGGAGATATAGCCAGTCTAATAAGGCACTTTTTTTTAGTGGTGTACATGCTGAACAGCTCAATTTTTATTCGAAACCAGAATACTGAATTTTTCTTAAACTATATAAATACAGCTATACATTACGTAGTCGTTTTTAAAAATAAATTAAAAAAAAAATTGTATATGCAAAAATTTGTACCTTTAGATAAATCATTTAAAAAAAATCCTACGTCATGCTATACAGAAGCTGTACAAAAAATGTAGACATGAGAAATCATGAACACCTTTCCAAATAACATAGATTTGAGAAAAACTTAAAATAAGATAAAAAAGTACTTGAAGGTATCCCTACCTAATGACTGTAATATCCACAAATAATGATATATTTTTAAGACCGAAATCTTAAAATGACTGCAAGAATATCGGCATCGACATTATGTAAACGACTTTTTAAAAAATCCAGAGTGGTCTTAACCCCTTAACTTAGATAAACAGATAGACGACTAAGAAACCGTTTTCATTAGCAACAGAATGTAGGATTGAGGTGATTATTGTGCGTTTATTCATTTTCTTTATCTAGACAGTTCAAAGTAAAACATAAAATATATAACTAAAAATAATAAGAAATATAAATTTATCTTATTTAACAGATGATCACAATCATTACAACAAACAGCATCCCAACGAAGTTGTTAAAAATGAAGAGCTAACCTACAATAGTGGCGGCTCCTGTCTGTCTCTTTGGATCAACTCTACGCTAGTATGGAGTATTGTAGCCGTCCTTGGCATTAACTATATGGTTGAGACAACAATTGCCAGGCCAGCATGCTCTGCTAAGGACATGAAATATGAACGGTGAATTCTGTATTTTTTTTTGTTAGACCTTCAACGTCACTCAATCAATATCTTTTCTCCAAACTCTCTATTCATCGTAATAGAAAGGAATTAATATTAATATTGGAAAGTGATAAGGACTGGTAATGGATTATAAAAACGATATTGATATGACTTTGAAAATATTTTATGGTTAATATAGAAAAGAAAATAGAAAAGGAGAAAGGTGAAAATAGATTTCATAAGTAAATAAATTAAACATATATCACAAGAGTTAGATGGTAGTGCTTACCGTTTAAGATTAAGATTTAAGATAAACAAAAAGGTAAATATAAAGATAGAAATATAGATAGAGATAGAGTTAGAGATAAAGATAAAAATAAAGGTGAACAGAAAAATGAGGATATAGAACAACAGATCAAGATGAAGTATTATTGTCAGGCCAGGTAAATACAGAACCAGCAAGTGCCTAAGAGCCACTACATCGATTACTGTTGTCCTCCTTAAAAATAATTGTTTCCTTTTTCGGTTCTTCTAAAGCCGCGCAGAGGTCAAGAAATTATTTGCCTAAAAGTTTGTCCATCCGCTTAGTAAACTGCTATTTCAAAGAAGATCTATAAAGGCAGAATTTCGGTCAAAAAGATTAGGAGAAAATTATTAAAACCCTAGAACGTATAGTATCACTGCCGTAAAAACTGTCAACTGTTCAGTTCAAAGCTTACAAAATGTTGAAAACGATTAATCATTCCTCAAATTGTAATTGTCTCTTATCTCTAAAAGCTAGAAGAAAGAAATGTCAATAAAAATAATGATAAAAGTTGTAATGCAATGGATTATCATTGCCATTACTGATTGTCTTACTAAAAAATCCCAAAAATCCCTTCAGAAAAAACACGAAATCAAGTTAATTTATTTAAATCCTCGTAGTAAGGGTTTTTTCGACTGAAATTATATAAAAAAGTAATATTAACATTAGAATTAGAAGAACGCTTAATTATGTATAAAATAAAGCGCACTTAAAAATTAAGACATCTTAATATTAATATAAATGTACTGTAATTGTTTATATATATGTATATATATATATATATATATATATATATATAAATATAAATATATATAGGAATATTTTGAATATGGTAAAGGTGAAAATTCAAAGAACTCCAACTGTAAGTTTTATGTTCTGATTTTTGTTTTTGTTTTTTATTAAATTTATTTTGTAAATGCGAACCAACAGTATAGCAAAGTGATTATTACAAATTTATTTAAAATAATATATGTGTATATAACATATGACATAATATATACAAGAAATGTTTAGGTGAAACGTTATAAACTTTGTAAATTTAAACGACGAAACTAACTAAAATTATAAATTTAAACGTATATAAAAAGTAAACAATTAGATTGAGCAAAAAAAAACAAGAGTTGAAAATGTATATTTATATATAGTCTATATATTAGTGAAAAATAAAAAAAATTAATACAACACTTTGAAAAGGGAAAAAAAATTAAAAACGTGTACAAAAATTTAAATGAAAAAGGATTATTATTTACATCATCAAATTTCTGCTGATTTTCTTGCTACTCCAAAATTCAAAATGGTTATTTCGTCATTTTTCTTTTTAAATAATTAAAACCTATAAAAAAATGAAATCTTTTGGGAATTGTAACTGCCACACTGCGAATAAAAAAACCTGAAACACCAAACCGAATTTATAAAAACAGAAATCTAGATTCAGTCCTTAAATAGTATTGAATTTTTCTCCCCCAGTCTTCATCCCTCTTATGTTAAAAAGTAGACTATAAAGCTAAAAACAAAATTCAATATAAATTAAAACGACATTGAAATTTATTATATATTTAACCGCGCCGAAAAGCACCTTCTCAATGGCGCTTTCTGTGGTCGCTCCTGACCATACTACATTTTGGCTTTTCAAGCTACTATTTAACTTAAACGGGAAGATTAATGAGAAGCAGACCGAAAACTATTTAAATCATACTACATACAAATCAACAACCAACACAATACTTACATACAACGCATGCAATTATAGATTCATAGCAATAGAACCGTAAATTCGTACCGCAAAATAAAGAAAAAAGCTCGAAAATATTATAAGATAAAATCATATAACTCGACAATTACACGACAACACAAGGTTCATAGATTTATGTTTTTGTTTTTTTTTTCGTTTAATCATTTTAAAAATCGTGGCGAAAATTTTTTTGTTTTTAGGAAAATAATATTAATTATTTGAGCCTTGCTATAATTTTTTAAAATTTATTTTATCTTATTGTTATATTTTTTTTAATACCTAAAGAATATTTTGACTAAATTAAATTGTTATTTAATTTTTGAATACAAAATCACAAAAAATATTAGCACATTTACAAAGCCACAAATAATATTGCTATCTAAAGAAAAATAATTACACCATGTGACTCACAACATATTTTGTATGTTACCGGAAGAAAGGGAAAGAGTATAAAATGTAGTTTTTAACATTAGCTCAGCATATTTATATACTAAACCCATTAATTTTAAGTAATACATAAGCCAGATGCATATTGACACTATGTAAAAGCAGAAAACAGCAAAAGTTATGATGATAAAAATGTAATATTTGCAAATAAAAAATCGATTTTGAATTTAATAGTTCCGCAAGTATTTTTTTATTTTGCCGGAGAAAGTAAGTATTTGCGGGTTAACTTAAATTTAAATTTACATAAACGCCTGTTATATCAAATTAATAATTTTAATTTTGACATAAAAAGATCGTTAGTTAAGTACAAAAGGGAGTGCAATGAGAGAGTGTGTGAGGTAAGTAACTTAGATCGGTTGCTTATGAGCTCCGTTTTAAAGGCCTGTAGAGGGATGCGAATGAACTCAACGAAATCCTAATCTGGAATCAGTTTTTTTTGTGCGCCTAATGTATAATACCAGTGGCAATAGTCGCCGCAATATGTACAACAAAAATATTAATGAATACGTCAACATTTCGTTCCGTACTAATTTCATTAAGTAAAGATGTGGTTTATCTAGATATCCTTGGGCCAAATAATATTTACTTAGGGCCACTTTGGGTTACATTTGTCAAATACATGGTTCGTCCTATCAAAACAGTAACAGTCGTATACAGATATGTGAACTACTTATATAACAAGTTGCCACCGCCCAGGAGCTGACGCTGGATGTGTCCGAAAAGGAGGAAAACGGTGACCTGACGATAGTAGTCAACCTGTCGATTGAAGTTCAGTCCGGTACTCATGTCCCTAAGGGTGCTGCATCAAAATCTCCATAAGAGATCTTCTCATGGAGCAAGAGTCCGCCGATGAACATAGCTCTAGTCCAAGAGCCATGGATTGCCTCGGGCAATCATCGTCGCCGGACTAAAATCCTCAAACTATAACGCGTTCTACACGCCATCGGTAAGCAGTAATCGTACGGAAGGGTCTTCGAGCTAACCGTATGTCTCATTACAGCTCGGACGTCTTGACTGTGGTGTTGCTAGAAAGCAAGAAGCGCCTACTGGTAGCTTCCTGCTCCATGGCACACAATAGGCCAGCTCCACCGGAAGAACTCAGGAGTCTGGAAGAACCCGGCTCAAAGGACCAGCAAGTGATCATGGGTGCAGACGCCAATGCGCACCACAGCGTATGGGGAAGCCCCGACATAAACGAAAAAGGTGAGTCACTTTTATACTTTATTCTTTCGACCAATTTATATATAGCAAACGTGTGGGAGGAACACACCTTTGTAGGCCCCACCTCGTCCAACGTCCTAGATATAACACTCGTAGCGGGGTACAATGTACAATGGTATCAGACTGGAAGGTCCTGGAGAGACCATCCTTATCGGACCACAGGTACAACAGTCTTTAGGAACCCCCGGAACACTAACTGGGGGAAGTTTAAAGATATAATCTCTCGTAAACTCGGGACTAGTCCGGGCACAGTAAAATCCGATGAAGACATAGAAAAGTGCTTAGAGACCCTCTCAAACGAATTACTAGGCGCATATAACGCATCATGCCCGATTTCAAGAAGCAAGAAAAGGACCAGACCACCCTGGTGCAACAAGGACCTCTCGCTCCAACGCGATAACCTCAGAGAATTCTTCAAACTCGCCAATCAGGCGAAGCATGATATAATCAACGAGGAATACAAAATCCTGCTAAGGAACTACAAGGAAATACACAGGGCACCAAGAAGCTCTTGGAAAAACTTCTGCTCCAACATAGAGACGGCCCCAGAAACGGCTAGACTACGGAAGTTGCTTTCAAAGCAAGCCACCATAAAGAGTCAGCTCAAATGCGACGACGGGCAGTGGACTGAGGGCAGCGAAGAGGCCCTAACAGGACTAGTGCAAGCGCACTTCCCAGGTTGCACAGAGATGACCGATGCTTACGGGCATCCCAATCCAATGAAGGACCTTGAGGATTGGAGCACCGCTTCCATGGCGAAAGGAGCGCACAGAGACACGCCGCAAGATGGAGTCCCATCGCCCCTCCTATGGAATCTAGTGCTCGACGACCTAATTAGAGTATTCGAGAGGAAGGCCCCGAATATAACAGCCTATGCTGACGACCTAAGCGTAATTATCACGGGAGTATGTCCATAAACCCTTAGCTCGATCATGGAATCAACACTCAGGGAGATATGTGAGTGGACGGACAAGGTAGGACTCAGTATCATTCTCTTCACTAAGAGATACAAGGTACCGTAATGTATCCCCCCAAAAATAAATACAACCAGGCTGACCGCGAAAACACAAGTCAAATACCTAGGCACTGTACAGGACAGCAAGCTGGCATGGAAACCCAATGTACTAGAGAGGGTGAAAAAGGACACCATTCCTCTACATGCATCCAAGAATATGCTCAGCAGCACATGGGGCCTCTCACCTGCTCTGATGTACTGGGTCTACATTTTGGTCGTGCGTCCGACTTTGCTATACGGTGTCTTAAGCAAAAAATTTGCAGCAAGTTGAAAATAATTTGCAGCAAAAGTTTGCACAAATGGGTACACCCATGCAAATATAGCAAGAAAATTTTTTGCTCCATTAAATTTTTGTTTTGCACGCAAACTTTTGCATAGCTATTTCGACTGACGCAACCAAGATAGCGGTAAAAAAATGTATACAGACGACAAGCAACAAATATTGCTGCAAAAAAACTTTGCAAGTTCTTTGTTTGCAGCAAAATGTTTTCACTCGTGTTTATACGTGCAAATTTGATTGCTGCACATTGTTTGCATCGTGTGTTTCTAGC